CCCCAACAGCACCTCCCAGTGCCAGCTCGGCGGAGCCCAGTCCCGGACATGGGTCGGCTGGACGTCGTCGCGGACGGGTCGACGGCGAGGATGCGGGCCGGGCATCGTCGAGAACAAATACTAGCTATATGCCCGCAAAAAGTAATATTTTTTTAATGATTGGATTTTGATAACTAAAATTTCTAACATTTCTGTATAACACTAATTATGCTATCATTGCATATGTCAAAAATCTATATACTATTTCATACTAATTAAGCATCTAATACTAAAAACAAAAAACACAACTTCCATATATACATCCATTAAAAAACAGAAAAACAACATTATATAAAAAATTTCCATACTAATTAAACACTAATTATATCCATCTAACATGCATTCATACATATATAATAGTGAAAAAATAATAATCTAAACTAATTAAACATACAAAATACGTATATACTAATATATACATGCATTAATTCATACATGTGTGTGTGTGTGTTCATCATGCATGCTTGTGTGTGTGTGTATGGGCTCGGGGAGGGGCGGCGCCCATGGTGGCCGCCGGGGGCGAGGGAGAGGGGTTAGAGGGGGAGAGCTCACAGCGGGGCGACGGCGACGGCGAGGCGACGGCCGGGGGCGGTGACGGGCCGGGGCGTGACGCGGGGGAGGCGACGCGGGGACGGCGCAACGGGGATGGGCCCAGGGCGGCGATGGAGACGAGGGCGGCGACGGGGACGGGGGCGGCGACGGAGACAAGGGCGGCTACGGGGACGGGGGCGGCGACGGCGACGGAGACGACGGAAACAGAGGAAGAAACAGAGGGAGAATGAAATTTTCGTAAGTGTTGTATATATAGAAGGCACCTTTAGTACCGGTTGGAGCCACCAACCGGTACTAAAGGCCTGTTTTGGCCAGGCCAAGCGGCGGAAACCGCACCCCCTTTAGTACCGGGTCATGGCACCAACCGGTACTAAAGGGGGGGGGGGTCTTTAGTACCGGTTGGAGCCACGACCCGGTACTAAAGGGGGTGCGCTGGCTCCAGGCGGTGCACAAGTTTAGTCCCACCTCGCTAGTCGAGGGGCTACCGCACTGGTTTATAAGCCCCAGTATGGTAGCTCTCTCGAGCTCCTCTCCTAACCAGGCCTACTGGGCCTACCTGTCGTCTTCGCCCAGTGGGCCTACTGGGCCTTTGCGGGCCTGCATCCTGGCCCAACAAAAGGTTGTGTTGCTAGTCGTATGCAGGCCGCTTTGGCCCAGTAGGCGGGCTTTTATTTTTGTTTTATTTATTTTTGAGTTGTTTTTTGCTGTATTTAGAGTTTCTTTGTGAATATTTTTGCTTTAGGTACAAAAAATTACAAACTTTCTGTTAGTGCCGGTAGATTTCAAATTTGAATAGTTTAAATTTTGAATTATTTGAATTTTTGTGAATCACTAGTTTGTGAATAACTTAACTCTGAAAAAAGTTTTTCCACTGATTCTTTTTTCTTATGTTTAATATTAGTGTGTTTTATCATTATATTCAATTTAGTAATGCTTAGGTTATTTAAAAAATGAAGAGGGAAAGAACAGAGAGGAGAGGGGAAAGGGGAAGAACAGAGCGAGCTCAGGTGGACGAAGGGTTTATGTAGGACGACCTTTAGTACCGGTTCGTGCCAAGAACCGGTACTAAAGGTGCTGGAGGGGGCGCAGACTGAAACATCCTGCCACCACTCTCATTAGTACCGGTTCGTGGCACGAACCGGTGCTAAAGGTTAGCCACGAACCGGTACTAATGAGAGTGGCCCGGCTAGCCGTTGGAACCGGCACTAATGTATACATTTGTGCCGGCTCAAATACAAACCGGCACTAATGTGCTTCACGTTTGACCCTTTTTCCACTAGTGTACTTTGATCATGTCTAAGACTTGTCTGTCTGTCTAAAACTTATCCCTCTTGGGATGCCTTGCCCATCCTTATATAAGTTGAAGGGGTTGGATTACATGTAGAGTCCCGGTAGGATTAGGACTAGTCTATCTTCTATTACAAGTGGAATCCTAGTCCAGATCTTGCTTTTCCTTGCTAGGTCTTGCTTCCCAAGTAAGGGAGATATTCCTTATACTTTTCCTCTCAAGTCGGCCCACCGGATATCGTACCTTGAGTCGGCCTACTCACAAGCCGCTTTCTGGGCCTTGGGCTTTGTCACCTGTCTGACCCACTGACCGGGTCACCAATGAGCCGCCAAGTCCAGGCGGGTTACCGATGAGGTGCCAAGTCTAGGCCGGGTCATATCAAGTTGGGTTATACCGCGGGGTATATCCCCGACATTAGCCCCTAGTTTAATTTGGATTTATCCATGTTAAACTTATCTAGAAAAATAAAAACAAGAACAAGTTGACAAGTTGTGCACCGGGACGAGGGTTCTTCTGAGCCGGCATTTGTCCATCCTCAAGTCCTTGTCATTTCCTTCTGTAAATGGGGTGAAAGAACATCTGGACTGGCAATGGGGTGAAAGAACGGTGAACTCTGATGAACTATAGATGGAACTAGTACAGATCTAAAGAAGAAAGATTAGTGTGCCGGACGGTTGCAGAGGGCGACGAAGATGCTTGGCCGAGCTCCGGTGAAGATTGGATGGCGCCGCGGTCCTGGATGGGTCGCCCGGTGGTGGACGAACGGAAGCAGAGGCGTGGCTCGAGGAGGAAGAAGAAGCGACGGGGGCGAGGTAAAAGTGAAAAGGGGGGACCCTCGCATGTATTTATAAGGTGAAGGGATAAGTGTAAATGGCAGGCACAAGAATTGAGAAGGCAGTAACTTCTGGAGCGCCAGGGGCGCCTCGATTTTTGGTATTGACAGATATTCAAAGACTCGTTATGATGTCATCCTGGGCTCCCTGGATTTTCGGAGGAGGATGTCCGCAATAAGATGTGAAAAGTAACATGTCTGAAAGCGTCATAAGCTGGCATTTCGTGACCCGGAAAAGATGCAGACTTGACTATGAGATAAGCCGCCAAGCTAAAATGGTGGAGACTGACATGAATGAATCCAAATCAATCTGGGGGCTAATGTTGGGGATATAACCCCACGATATGACCCGCCATACTAGGCCAGGTCATCCAGATGGCGACTGAGGAGCAAGACTCAAGAAGGACCGAGGCGCCCAAGTGCAACACCAGCAGGGTGGCTCACAGAGTGGGCTGGCTTAGGACCCAGCATCCCAAGATGGCGGCTCGTAGCCCCGACGTACAACTCGTCAGGAATTTCCTACTTAGGGAATAAGATAAGATAGAAGCATACTAGGTCACAGGTCATAATACGACCCGGACTCTTGTAAGCCTAGGGCCCCGACCTCTATATAAAGGCAATTCCCTGAGGCAGATAGACTAAGTTACAATCGACCAATAGCTAGGTAATTGATCCCAAAGATATAACCAACAAGCCGGAAGTAGGCTATTACCTCGATCGTGAGGAGTCGAACTTGGGTAAATCCGCGTCTCTCGATTCCGATCAACCCCGACAAGCTAACCGCACGGTTGCGTTGGCTTCACGACTAAGTTCTCACACTAGGACATCTGCCGTGACAAACCACGACATACCTCGTCAGGGTTCAAGATACTTTCAGCTTCCTGTGCCGCAGATCACGGAGTCGTGGCAACATGACTAATTTTACACCGTGGACCTCCCAAAGTACATAAAGAAACCTAGTTTGCCACTCTTCAAGAACGAGCCCCAAGAGCTCCAGTCTTGGAGCTCGATGACCAACCTCTCCATGGAATATGCCCAGCTAGTACATGTCGTCTTTCAGCTCACGAACACCGGGCTCACAAGCATGCAGATCTTAAAAACGTGGCTGGAGAGAAATATTCAACCGCTGGCAGCGCGGGAGCATCCGATGTACGTCTATAGAGACCCGAGTGATCCTTGTCGCCTGAATAACCGAGTGATCTCATGATCCGGGTTAAGCTCTCGCAAGCTCTTTGTGGCTCCTGTTCCTATGGACGAGATATCTCTAAAAGTGGCAGTGGAACCCTTCCATCGGGGTCACCGTCCAAACAATCGTGAGTGCAAAACCATACACTGATGTTGGGTCGTTATTGGTTGCTGGCTGACACTCGCTTTTTGTGTGTCATACTCGGGCCTTCGGTGATCTTATCTCGGAGCCCCATCAACCTTGTCATCCAGTTCCAGTGGAGTTGTCGTGTCTAATGCAGCCGCGAGTCGCCTTCAAAATCGCGCCAGAGGTGTTATAGGGCCCTAGCATGCGCCATCTATGAATAGGCCATGAGACGAACCAGTTAAGGCGGCCTCCTCACCGCGAAGAACGGGCAGTATGGAGGCCTGTGGGGGCAGCGGTAGTAGGCCCACTGCTGCAGCCAACTTACTTGCTGGAGCCGCAAGCTGTTGTTGCTATCCATCCCGTGGTTCCGCGTCAACAACCCAAGGTCTCGTGCAGTTACGTGCTGGTAGTACGACATGCAAAACATGAAGGCATGTAAAATGTTTTGTCGTGTCTTGAATGCTTGGCATTTCAGCAGTCTAATTGCATAGTGATTTTGCACAAAGTGGAGAGCGAGCTTTTGGTTTATGAGATTGTATGAGACATATCCCTTGTGAAAATTTTCAATGATTCATTTCAAAGGAGTCTGTTACAATAGTATATGAATATTATTATTTTCACTTGAATGTCTTGCCTCTCAATTTGATCTTTAGTTAAATGTAACCACAGGATAATGCCTACTACCTCTGCTTCTGCAATCCTTTTCCAAAACTTCTCAGGTCTTGTTAATTTACACCTTCGATGATCTAATAGTAACTAGTAAAGCCTCAAATCGATCGTGCCACTTGTGGACAGATAGACACTCTGCCGAGAGGAATCTGTAATTTGTTAAAGAAGACAAACTTGCATGTATCCATGCAGAAGTAGTCCACAACTCTCCTGACGTGCTCATGCTTATTAATCGATATCACAATACATAACTGCATATATGCACGCCCTCTAGCTAGCTCAGTACGTACGTAGATCGAGCCTATACCCTAGAGCAGGTCAGCCATGAGCTTGAACTCCTCGACGCTGATGGCGCCGTCGCCGTCCCCGTCCATGCACGCGATGATCTCCGCGCAGTCCTCGGCGCTGGCGGTGCCCATGAGCCCCAGCACCCTGGCGAGCTCGTCGGCGCCCAGCGCGCCGTCGGGCCCCGCGAAGGACTCCAGCGCCGGGACGGCGGCCTGCAGCAGCGCGCCGAGCGCGCCCAGCCCGAGCTCGCCGGCGTTCATCACGTCCAGGAACTCCTCCACGCAGAGCCGGCCGTCACGGTCGGCGTCGGCGCGCGCCAGCATGTCCCGCGCCTCGGCCTCCGACTTGTCCAGGCCCAGGGAGGCCAGCAGGCCCCGGAGCTCGGGGGCCGTGACGAGGCCGTCGTTGTCGGAGTCGAACGCCTGGAACGCCTCCACGAGCCTGCTGATGTAGCTCAGCGCCTCGAAGTCCACCGTCAGCGGCTGCGGCTGCGGCTGCTGCTGCGCCGACGGCCGGCGGGCCGGCGTCGCCATCGCGTTGGCGAGAACGAACGAACTAGACCGTGAGAGACATGGAGGACCTGACGATTGTGCCGTGGCTGTCACTTGTGTCTTGCGTTTGCTCTTGGTTGGAGCTCGGTTCGCTTGCATGGACGGCCTTAAGAAGGCGAGGCGACGGCAGCAGAACCTGAATCTCGGCCGCTTTGTGTCGACATGGAATGAACACTAGTGGAGGAGCATCTTGTTCTCGCTGTTGGCAATGGCAGGATAAGGCGTCTGGATTCTCGCGTGAGAGCGTGGACGAAGATGGGCTCTGGATTACTCCCTCTGTTTCAAAATAGATGACCCAACTTTATACAAACTTTGTGCCTCGTTTTGGATGACAAAATCTTTTTTCTTTTTAGCGGGGTGGATGACAAAATCCTTTGAAGTTTGAACAGTTTGTACTTTGAAGTTCAAGGTCTCCACGCCGTGCCACCGGGCGAACTGCCGAACGCATCCTACAATATCATCAACGTGGAACAATCGGACCATTTCGACAAAGAGTGAAGAAACATCCTCTATGACACTAAGCTCCCTTTAAAGAACTCACATTCAATTAAGGTCTTCAATTAAAATAGAGTTATTAATTTTGATCGGGTCAACAATTTCGCAAAACTCTATCATTTAATTCTTTTATACAATACAACTATGCTTTCTAATTTTTAAGGCCAAACAATTAATTGAGGTATTCAATTTAGAATCGTGTCATCCGACTTTGACCGGATCAACAATTTCTCAAGTTGTCCCACTTAACTATTTTAATTCACTATATTTTCTAATTTTCAAGCTCTTTCATACGATTGAGATATTCAATTTTAGATTTGATTTACGATTTTGACCGGGCCAACAATTTTTCAAATCAATCAGCAACAATCGACCTATAAAAACATATCAATCCCATGCGCCCTCCCATCACCTAGAAAAAGGAGTGTTTGCATGTGATATTGTACCACCATTATAGTATATGCAACCACCTCCTCGCAAAAAAAAAAGTATATGCAACCACCAACACAGAGATTTCTCCACATAAATATAGACAGGTTAGCGGATACACAGAATCACACCACAAAAGGCCCACCAAATCAACACATTATAAATAAATATAAAACACACTTTATCATCTCCCCACCCGCCAAACTAAATATTCTATCAGTTCTAAAATATAAAGGGGTATTAGTTTTTTAGAAAGTCAAATTTCTTTAAGTTTGACCAAGTTCAGAGCAAAAATATCGACATCCACAATATTCAGCAAAAAAAGTATGAAAATTCATTTCATGATGAATCTAAAAATATCAATATGAAATTATGGATTTTGATATATTTCTCTATAAATTTGATCAAACTTAAAATGTTTGCCTTTTCAAAAAAAGTAACACACATTATATTCTGAAACAAAGTGATTTTTTAAAGAAATCTAACAACACTAATGACGCAGAAAAGCGCGCCAAACCCTTCCAGTATATATTATAGGGTTGTGAGGTGGTGTGACGAGGAAGGAGGCAAAGATCTATCGTGGGAGCGATATCTCGCTTATTGCGCGTGAAGCGGTCTAGTAGGGCGTTTCTCTGTCGTGTGTTTGTTCGTTTCATCTGATCGCTGACGTGTTTGCTTCGGTTGTTTTCCTTTTTTATATTACTTCATCACTGCTTTTCTTCGGGGTTTTAAAATTCGTTATACTTTCTCTTTTTGTTTCTTTCTCGATTTTCTTCTTTTTTGTTTCTTTTCTTTTTGCACAGGGCTTTCTCCAGTTTTCCTGTATTGGTGTTTATTTTTTTTTTCGTTTCTCACTTTTCTTCGGGTGTTTTCCAACACAAATCTACATTTTCGCATGTATCAGGTACATTTTTAAATACACAATTAACATTTTAAAAAAATATTGTGGTGCCTATTTTATTTTTCATACCCATTATGCATTTTCGGCATACACCTCAAAGAATTTTTTTATATACGTTTAATAATTTCAAATGCATCATTACTTTTTTTTCCGGGATATATTTTGATGTCAATTTTTTATCGCACACATTGCATATTTTTTGTATACATCATGAACATTTTTTATATGCACAATTAAAAATATCAAATAATATTTTTGATGTCTACTTTTTACACACACCTTCTAAATTTTTTTTGTATACAACAAGAACATTGTTTTATACATGTGTAATATTTTCTAAATGCATGATTAACACTCTTTATTTTTTTATTTTCATGTCTACTTTTTTCATACACGTGTACATTTTACATACAGTTTGTACATTTTTTTTGTATACATCAGGATTTTTTGTACATGTTTAACATAGTTTTAATACACTATTAATATGTTTTCATATTTATGTTTTGATGTATACTTTTTCCATACACATTATTTTTTTATGCATTAGAACATTTTTCTGTATGTGCTTAACATTTTTCAAATGCATGATTAACATTTTTGAATTTTTTTGTAAAACGATTTTTGTAATATATATATTTAGAATATTTCAATATAAGCAAAGGTAAAGAAAAGGAAAGAAAAAATGTGAAAAAAATATGAAAAATGAAAGAAGCAAATGGGAGCTGAAGGCCCTGCACGCGGCGAAGGCACTTCAGGCAAGTGCTTGTACTGTCTCGCTATAAGCAAGGCATAGTTGCTCTCTACTATGTAAACTGTGTGACTGATCAATAAAGCTTTGCTGACTGTCTAAAAAAAGCATGGCATAGTCGCTCCCAAGGTACACAGACTCTCAAAACAAATAATAATTTGGGTTAGGAACAATAGTAGCACGCTTCAGCTCCATTTGCCTACACTCAACTAGAGCGGGCCAGATCCTTCAAGAATTTAGTTAGACTGGGCTATCATTTATCTGCGGGGCTTGACCCAGGTCGTCAGGTCGTGTACTACCTGGGGCTCGGTAAGGGGACCTCCTATAGGGCGCCTTCAGCGCCGCGCAAGGGATCTGGCGCCCGCACAGCAGTTGGATGGGCCAGCCCACGATCACGCAACAAAAGCAACGCGAAAAATGACAGCCAAAAATACGTCCCGACCAGGATTCGACCTCGCGAGCATGCAAAAAAATCCGCGTATTCAAAAATAGTTCTGAATACACATTGAACATTTTCTTAGTATAGGATGAACATTATTCAAAGAGACACAGAACATTTCTCTAAAAATACGCTGAACTTTTTTTGAATACATGCTGAACAAAATTTCTCTACATGATGAACATTTTTATATACACACTGAACATTTTTTTCAATGTTTGGTGAACAATATTCAAATACATGTATAACTTTTTTTTAAATACGATCAACTCCTTTCGAATGCATGCTGAACAAAATTTCTATACATGATGAACATTTTTTTATACACACTGAACATTTTTTTGAATGTATTGTGAAATTTTTTCTTCAATATGGTTAACAAAAAATTGAAACGCTAAAAGTACACAAGTGAAGTCGGTTGGCTGGTTGGTTGTGTCAACGAACGTTGAGCCAAAAGATCGCGTGTTCGATGCACCGTACTCGCTGTGTTTTTGCGTCTTTAAACAGGAAAAAGAAAGTAACATGGCCCGGCCCAGCGAGGAGAAAGGGGGTGTGCGCCCCGTACGGTTAAGCCTGTAACGGGTGCTACGGGCGCTGTTTAGGAAATGTCCTCGGTAAGCGTCGGTCAACGAGCAAGCGGCAATGCTACACGTACAAACAGTTTACAGGCTTTTACAGGGTGGGTTAGTTTTCATTGGCCAACAGGTGAGCGGGACGGTCCACCCCCCTGAAAATCAGGAGGGGAGAGGTTTGTGATTGGTTGTTAGATGAAAACAGTTTACAGGCTTTTTTTTTGCCATCCGGCGCATCCCCACCCTTCGAGCTGGGCCAGACCATTTATGTTTTCTTTTTCTATCCTGCTAAAGTTCAAAAAAGGTGTGGCCGGCGGGTTCGAACTTGAGATCTCTCGATTCATGGAAAACCGCAACAACCACTAGGTCCAGCGAGGAGAAAGGGGGTGTGCGCCCCGTACGGTTAAGCCTGTAACGGGTGCTACGGGCGCTGTTTAGGAAATGTCCTCGGTAAGCGTCGGTCAACGAGCAAGCGGCAATGCTACACGTACAAACAGTTTACAGGCTTTTACAGGGTGGGTTAGTTTTCATTGGCCAACAGGTGAGCGGGACGGTCCACCCCCCTGAAAATCAGGAGGGGAGAGGTTTGTGATTGGTTGTTAGATGAAAACAGTTTACAGGCTTTTTTTTGCCATCCGGCGCATCCCCACCCTTCGAGCTGGGCCAGACCATTTATGTTTTCTTTTTCTATCCTGCTAAAGTTCAAAAAAGGTGTGGCCGGCGGGTTCGAACTTGAGATCTCTCGATTCATGGAAAACCGCAACAACCACTAGGTCATATTCACACATGTGCTTAATTACTTCTTCTTTTTCTTTTATTATTTCTTCAATTTGCTGTGAATGCAAAGGTCTCGTTCCTTTTTTTAATAGTTTCCCTTTCTTTTTTTCCTTATACCTTTTCTTTATTTTTAGTTTCCGTTTCTTAAATTTGCGAACTTTTTTCTCAAAAATGATGAACTTTTTCTCCAAAATCGACGAACTTTTTTTCAAATTTGTGTTTTTTTTTAAAAAATGGTTGATAATTTAAAAAATCGATAATTCTTTTCCAAAGTTGATGAACCTTTTCCAAATTTGAGAACTTTTTTCAAAACTAATGACAGTTTTTTGTCAAAGTTATTGATTTTTCAAATTTGTGTTTTTGTTAATCTACGAAAATTTTAAATTTTGTGATTATTTTTTGAAAATTGATGACCTTCTTGTAAGTTTGTGAATTGTTTTTGAAATCAGTGAATGTTTTATAAATTGATGAGCCTTTTCAAATCGATGTTTTTGTTTTTTCAATTTTTTGATCTTTTTTTGATAATCGATTCACTTTTTAAAAATTGATGAACCTTTCACAAATTTGTGAATTTTTTGTCAAATATATATATATTTTTTAAAAAATCGATGAAGTTTTCTCAAATGGATGATTTGTTTACAAAATCCATAAAATCTTTTTTATTTCACAATTTTTTCATAAATATTAAAAACCAATCCATCTTTTTTCTAGCAGATCGATAGCACAAAAGACTAAAGA